TGATTGTTTATAAAAAGAACATTTTAGAATTTTTTTTATACTTTTTTTTAAAGTAGTTTTTTTATTAAAAATTTTATGTTTTATTAAATAGTTATAGAAAATTAAATGTAGAATATTTTTATGATAAAAGTCTTTTTAAACTTTTTAAAAAGTATTTATTTTTAGAAAGTTATTTTTTTTTTTTAAATATTAAAATGTATAACTTTTAAAAAAAAAAAATTTTTTTTCAATCTTTTGCAAAAAATGTTTTACTGGCCTTGAATCTAAAACTGCCAGAGTACAATTAAATCTCTAAGGTCACTGAAAGTAGTGTACAGAACAAGCTTTAACTCTTTGTTACATTGTTTTACTATGTGGTATTTTACTATTTCTGTAGTAGACTTTTGGTCACTAAAGAATACTTGTAATATTACTGAATATTTTATTTTGATTCACTCCCAACAAGGTGGCAAGCAACCACTATTAAGTTGGGATTTACTAGAAAAAAATGAATCGAGTTGAATAGAGCAAGGAATCGGTTGACAGAAGACTTGAAAAGTTGAAGGTTGTATAAATCAGGAAAACAGGGTTGAAGTGCGGGGGAAAAAACTGAGGAATAAAATTTTTTAGAGCTTGCGGGGACAAATACAGTAAACAAATGAGACTTTACTAAATGACGAGTCAAGCGAGAATGAGTTTTAGATTATGGAATTAGAGGTGATAGCTCCTTTGAGCAGCGACCATGTATTTGTAGAAAAGAGAAAGAGATGCAACTTTATGGCGATGGGAAAGAGGCTTAAGCTTAGCAGATAGAGTGGGTCCAAACATGTTTACAAAGCATTTTTGGATCTTCTCAAGAAGGGAAAGAGCATCATTAAAAGAACCAGCCCAAATATAACAACAATATTCCATTCAGGGTCAAATAAGAGGTTTTTAGAGGTATAGAATGGAATCAGGAGTAAGAAAATGGCAAGAATGATAAAGAGTGACAACCTTAGCAAATGCTAATTTAGCAATCAATTATACATATAATTTCCATGAAAGGTCAGTAGTAAACGATAATCCAAGAAGACGTAATGAAGAAGACTCAGTGAGAGGGTTCATTATGAATGTGGACATTTATTCATTAATGAATGTGGGCATTCATTAATGAATAAATGTTTTGTATAAAAATTGTATTAAATAAAAATTATTGCAAAAGTTATTTGTGATAAATAACTTTTGCAATAAGAGTTTAGAGTAAAAATTGTAAGTTATCGACAGCCCCAATTTGTTACAGAAGTGAGATCAGATTCAAGATCGGCTGCCTGTTCGAAGCAATCAAAAAGAGAAGACTTTTTGCCAAGACAGAAGTATAAAGTTGAGTCATCAGCAAAAAGAGCTACTTTAGATGTAAGGTTGTTGGGAAGATCATTAATTTAGATAAGAAACATAACAGGACTAAGGATAGAACCTTGAAGTACCCCAGTTACTGGAAAAGAAATGAAGAGGATGACTTCAATAAAGCGATTAGTTTTGAAAAGTTCAAAAATTTTCCCAGATACACCATATGAATCAAGGTTATGGAGAAGACCATCCATGCCAAAATTTGTTGAAAGCCTTAGATATGTCAAGAGCAATAGCCTTAGCCTCTCCGACACCTTCTAATGCAAAATAAAATCTTTCAGTCACAGAAGTTAGCAAGTCAGCCATAAAGCGAGAAGATCAAAAACCATATTGATTGTCTGACATGTTATTTGATTCAATATGGGATGTGGGAAATTTGTTTATCAAAGACTCAAAGACCTTGCTAATAACAGAAAGAAGACTGATTGGGTGATAATTTTAGGAGTCAGAATGTTATCAGGAGTTTTTGAAAATTAGACCAGCAGAATTCATTTTTTAGCAGGGAGGAAAACAAGACTCAAGCACTTATTAAACTCTAAGACTCTTATTAAATAGTTTTGAGAGAATTGAAGAGAGTTCTGGAAAGCAATTTTGTAAGACTATGACAGAAATGCTGTCTAAACTGTAAAAGAGTTTAATTGAGATATGACTTTAGCAGCGGAAGCTGGAACGGAGGTGGAGCAAAATGGAGTGAATGTCTAACAATGAGTTAACTTGTTTAATTGGAATGGAAGGAAGAGAATGGTCATAAGATTCAAGAGTCAAATTTAAAGAAAAGTTCTTTGCATATTGTTCTGTCTTATCCTCTGGAGAGGTAATAAGATCAGTCCCATTAATGAGAGATGTAATGTTACACCTATCCTTGTTAATGACGCTGTTGAAGATTTTCCAAGAGACTATTAAATTATGGTTTTAACCCTCTCTCGACTCTTTAACTCAAAAACACCAACCTTGACGAACAAGGCTGCTTTGCGGAGAAACAAGTTGAGAAACAAGCTGCACAAGAAATTGAAAACCATAGTACAGAATGAGGCTTGACTTGGAACTGACAAGAAGGAATAAACCTTCCATTCCTGCCTGAATCCAGGATGTCATGTTGGAGGCACATCACCTGAGCGTGAAGAGACATTAGTCCAAGAACTGTCTTGAAGAAAATCACAAAAAGAACCCTAATCAGCTTTAGGGTTGTAGTAAGTAGTACAATGGTAGGGTGAGTCCGAAAAGCAAGATCGAGATGAAAGATTTAAAGAGATTTAAGGAGAAAAAGCAGAAACTGAACACAAGTTAGGATCAGAAACAAGACATGAATCAAGGAGTGAAGGTAAATGATTAAGGTTGTCAGGAAAACGAGTCACAAAGTTAACAATCTGAGTAAAAGATTGAGAAATGCAGAAGTTATAGGATTTAGTGCCAGGAGGTTCAGTGGTGTAAGATTTGATCAGTTTGATCAGAAATTATATCTAAAAGAGTGCAATCTTGGAAAGAAGGAGACTGATAAAGAACAAAGAGAAAGGTGATAGAGTGAAGAGGTGCTAAGCGGAAGCACATAAAAGAATAGTCAAAGGATTCGAACCTGATTTCACAACAAATAGGTGAGCTGATGTGATGTATAGTCCTAAGCCAAGCATGTGACTACTGGAGTCTTTGCAAATCAAAGGATTGTACCCATCAACACTGAAATTTGAAGAAGAATTGCAGAATTTAAATTGGTCTCACTAAGAGCAAACAAGTCTGGTGAATTTTGCAAGAGGTAATATTCTGATGATAGGTTGCTTTGCAGATCACAAATATTTTTAAAAGATATATCAAAACAGTTAGGTAGTAGCGATTTTTATGTTTAATATTTTGGGTTACTTTTGACATGATTTAAGTTTAAAGAGAACTTGACTCATTCATAGAACCTCCTAAGCAATGGGTTATGCAGTTGTCTCAGTCCTGTTAATTAACCCTAAGTCATAGCATAGGGCTCCTTGGCCTTAACAATGCACCAAAAGCATTAACAGGGACACCATCCATGCGCAATATGGCACTGTTGATACTCTGATATTTTGCTGCTGTTGATAGAATCAGCCTATCTGAGAGCTACCACAGAGTTTGGGAAACCCTAATACTAGCTGGTCTCAGAACCATTAAACTAAGTTTTAGAGCTGTACCCTTATTTGGAGATAACATGAAGAGTTGTAATGAGGCACAAGCGAAAACCTATGAGATGAGTCAAGAAGATCCAGCATTCATCATCCTAGGTAGGAAATAATATAACACTATTTTTATCAAGACACCATCTCTAGTCTTTACTCTACCAAGAGGTTCTAAGTTACATGATACCAGTATGCTTTTAACAACCCCCTCCCCCTCCTTGGATATGCATCTATATTTATTAGAAAATCAACTCCACCTCCCCTCTTCTCTGACAAATAAATTTTTCAAAATGCTAAAAACAAAAAATCTCTTAATTAATTCGACATATCTGTTACATAAGAGAATATTGTATCTGTTACATAAGAGAATATGGGGCGGATCTTCTAATGATGCCCTTTCTCTTTTAGACAAGGTGCAAAAATGCATTGTAAACATAGTTGGACCTGCTCTTGCAGCCAACCTTCAACCTCTGTCACATCGTCGTAATGTTGCTTCTCTTTCTCTTTTCTACAAATACTATAATGGGCACTGCTCATTATAGTATTTGTAGAAAAGAACTAGCACAAAAGATGGCACAAAGAACTAGCGTCTCTTGTGCCATCTACTAAAATTCATTTTCGTGTTACTTACTTACATTCAATTAAGTCTCATCCTTTTTCTGTTACTGTTCCTAAGTGCTCCAAAAACTCTTATTCGTCTCGTTTTTTTCCTCGAACATCAGTTCTTTGGAATTCACTTCCTTCATCTTGCTTTCCTGATTCATATAATTTGCAATCTTTTAAGTCGTCTGTCAATCGTTATCTTGCTCTACAATCTTCATCTTTTCTCTTCCAGTAACTTCCAACACTAATTAGTGGTTGCTTGCAGCCTTGTTGGAAGTGAAGATAAATAAAAAATAAAAATAAAAAATAAAAAATATTGATTTTTTAAACTTGTCTGAGTCAATGCTTTTGCTAGAAGAAAAAAAAAAAAATCAGGTTTTAGGTGAGATAAAGCACGAGAGAAAGTCAAACCGCACACGCACACGTTGTCTTTTAACACACTCCCTTGTACACATTCATATAGAATCAATAGGCCAGGCTATTTAATAGTCGATGTATTTACTAAAGCCTCCATAACTTCCTGTTTTTTATGACATCCATGTGCGTCCAATGCATCTAATATCTGTATGTGTGTATATTTATGTATGTATGTATATATATATATATATATATATATATATATATATATATATATATATATATATATATATATACATATATATATATATATATATATATATATATATATATATATATATATATATATATATATATATATATATGTATATATATATATATATATATATATATATATATATATATATATATATATATATGTATATATATATATATATATATATATATATATATATATATATATATATATATATATATATATATATATATATATATATATGTATATATATATATAAATATAAATATTTTTTTTTACAGATGATTTCAAAACAATGTTTCAAGGAAATATCGATGATGATTTTAAAATTGGTGTTGCAGTTGCTAAAAATACAATTAAACTTTATGCTCCTTTTTATCATGCTGATATAATAGTTGCTTCACCTCTAGGTCTTCGTAGAATAATTGCTACAGAAAGGTATCCAGGGATTTGTCTTCATAGTTTTTTGTTTTTATTAAATAAATTTACAAAAATGTAAAATTTGTATACATCAACTAGCTTTGAGCTTTTATCAATGTTTATGTTTAATTCTTAATGCAGTAGTGGTAGAGCGCTCGCTTCATAAACGAGTGGTTCCGAGTTCGATCCCCACCACGTCCCTGGTAGTACCGCGCTCAACTCGTTTCTCCGCGCAGCGGCCTTGCTCGTCATGGTTCGTGTTTCGGAGTTATAGAGTTGAGAGAGGGTTATAACCATAATTAAGTAGCCTCCTCGTCTGTAGTGGCCTTCTCGGCCTTGAGGAGGTGAATTAAATTAAAAAAAAAAAAAAAAATTCTAAAACAACTAATGAAATTTTCAACTAGCAGAGATCAAGTCAAACTAAGATTCTATAGTAACATGATTATATGGTTGTATATTTCTCTAAGACAAAGAATCTAACATATTATTTTGAAAGACAAAGAATCCAACATATTTCCAGAAAATGATCTTTTTAGTGTTTAAAGTGTAGATTTACCTAATTGATTGCATAAACACATAAGTTTCTAACATATTCATAACTAAGTAAACTACAATAAATACTTCACAAAAAATATTCATAAGTGAAATTCTATATGTGAGGATGATAATAATGGGTTTAGGTAAGTTTCCCTTTTAATTTTTAAATTTTCAATGTATGTAATTATATGAAATAAAAGAACTTAAAAATTATTAAAAGTACTAATAAAAGTAGGGGGTTAAAACTTTATATGGTCATAATTTTTGAAAAATAAGAAATCATTGGATGAAATTTGAAATTTGTTGATGAATATAAACATAGATAAAAATACTAAAAAAATTATTTTATCAACTTGTTGCTCCCACGTTAAGGGCTGGGTAGGCCCAAAAATTGGGGGTTTTTTGTCCCCAAGCTCTTATTGCCGCAACTCTTTGCAAAACATTCTCGTTTGACATAAGCATGAACATACAAAAGTTTAGAGTTTGCACAATTGTTTGAGTTTTGACACTTGCAAGTGTCAAAACTCAAACATCTAAAAGTCCAGTGTAAACCACTGACATCTATCGTTGCTAGCTCAGTGGTTAAGTGTACTGTAATCAGGTCAGCACACTTAACCACTGAGGGTTCTTTGAGGGTTCAAATCCCACTTCTAAGCAAAATATATTTTTTAATTTTTTTCAATTTTCCACTATTTTAAATACAAACCATAACAGTTTAAGCAAAAAAGACATTTTTATTATTTTTTTTAATTATACATATATACACGATCATTTCATATACCACCTACAAACTCAACTTATGCTAAAGACTTTTTTACTTACAGACATTAGTACATAACATAATAAAAATGGAGTTATTACATTTGTGTAATTGTAAATGGCATATTGTTATTACATACATATTTACATATCTGTATATTAGTTTCTTATACTTCTTTGGCGAGAAAGTGTCTCTTTCTTCTAGAAAGAGACACTTTCTCGCCATTATAGTTTAATGGCTGCCTTCAAGTCCATATCAAAAACCACAAATACTACTAACACTACTATTAAGTTCTACATTATTAATTATGTGTGTTTATATATATTTGTTTAAAGTTGTAAGAATTTTATTTTTATTTAAACTTTACTTTTATTTAAAAAAACTGTTGTGCCAAAAAATCTTTTGAAAAGTTGATCAAAAGTAAATAGAAGATTTAATATTTAAGGAAAATGTTTTTTTTAAAGTTTAAATATATTAATTTTTTTTTTTTAAATAACATCTTTCCTAACTTCATGATAGTAATATCTCTTTTTAATCATAAAGATCAACTCATAATTATAATTTTTTTAGAGAAAAACAGGACTTTGACTTCTTATCTAGCATTGAAATTCTTATAATGGATCAAATTGATGTGTTTAATATGCAAAATTGGGAACATGTTTTAGTAAGTGTATATTAATAAATTGTTTTTTTTTTTTTTTTTTACGTTTTTATGAAATATGCTGTTACTATGTGTTTTTTTTTTTATTAATGATATTTATTATATAATGTTTTCTTTGGTAAAATATACTTTATGGTTACATCATGGTTTCCTTTAATGAAATATTCTTTTACTTTATGGTTTTCTTTAACAAAACTGTTACTTCATTTAACAAAACTGTTACTTCATGGTTTTTTTATTAAAATATGCTGTTGTTTCATGGTTTTCTTTGTAAAATCTTATGTTATTGAATTGCTGCTGTTATGGTAACGAATAAACAATAAAGAATAGAAATAAGGAGAGTTCTTGAAAACACTTTTGCAAAACAATCCCAGGAATGTTGTCAAGACCGCAATTTGTAGAAGAGTTTATGTAAGAATACTAATGTTTTACGGCTATTGATGGAACTATTCTCTCTGAGAGCTACCACAGTTTTGAAAACTAACAGCTGGCCTCAAAATCATTTAAGTGAGTTTTAGACATTATATTGAGATAGCAGAAAGAGTTGCTTATCCATTAACAAAATTTAAAAAAATGCATGAGTAGAGTCAAGATGATTTAGTGTTTGTCATTATTTATATGTCAACCTATTAAATGAAAAAAGGGTGCAAAATTGGTCAAATTTTCTTTTCTGCTCAACCCTAAAGATTTGGTCTAGTACATTTACAAGATTGCAGTCAGATCTATCATTTGTTAAACTTTTAACAAATGGTGTATACATAAAGATTTTTGGGTAGTTGTTACTTATAAGTTATTAATACTACTAATTTGAAACAAAAATTAAACTTATTCTTTATACAAACTAATCTATTCTTCTTTATATCATTCTATATATGTTGATGAATATTGAACGCTTATCTGTTTGCTAGTGCTTCTGAGGTTTCATTTAAGTAGTTCCCAATGGTGTTTGTAACCATTGGTATTTCACCAAGTTTTGTGACAATTAGAAGATGTTTGTGCAAACAATTTAATCCTATTCTCACAAAACAGTTATGTGAGAATAGGATCAAGTTAATTACCATGTCTGGTAATTCATCAGACCTCAATTCCATTAAAAGTTATTGGAATCATCTTAAAAATGAAGTATAGAAATTAAGACCCTTGAATTCCTTGCTTTCCAATGATCGAGAAAATTAAACAGGTATTGATTCAACTTATGACTCCTGAGTGTTTGAGTATTCAAAAATGTGTAATTAAGTATTTGAGTTTATTCACTCTATGCCTACCCTAAAAGTGATTTTCCCCTCATCCGTTTTTCTACGGGAAAGGGAAAGGTAACGGAAAAATAATCACGTGAGCATGCGCAGTTTACTTACGGACAAGTAAAAACTTTTATTACGCATGCTCACGTGATTATTTTTCCGTTCCCTTTCCCGTAGAAAAACAGATGAGTGGAAACTCACCTTAATTGTTTGAAAACACCATATCAAATAATAAAATGATGAGCTATGAAAATTACTATTTATTTTATTATTAAGTTATTTCTTTTTTGTGACTTATATGATTACTAACATATTTTGTAATATAATAATATTATATATATATATATATATATATATATATATATATATATATATATATATATATATATATATATATATATATATATATATATATATATAAAACATAATATAAAATAAAGTTATTTTTTTTTGTCATTTTTTATGACTAGTAACATATTTTGATATTATAATTAAATAATCTAGCAAACATCATGTTATTTTATACAATGCTCCAAACTTGATATATATATATATATATATATATATATATATATATATATATATACTAGTTGATGTGATGGGTATTTTTAAATATTAGATATGTATAGTATATATATTTTAGCATGTTTTTGACTATATGAATTTAACTCCAAGACAATCTCATGATACAGATTTTTCCAGAGTTAGAATGTGGTGCGTTGACGGATTGTAAGTAATCTCTTCATTTGTTTATAATATTTAAAGCGTGATTTATATATACAGTTATGTTACAGTTATGGCCAAAAAAATCTTACCACTCACAGTTATTATAGATAATTAAATTCAAAATATGTATGTTTGCAATTTACTAAAAAATCCTTTTGTGTGTAACTGCATAGTTATTAACCATAAATAAAAGTTTTTATATGTTCTATATACCTTTTTATAATTTAATAAATACCTTTTTATAATTTATGTTTATTACATTTTTTAATTTTTAAGTGGAAAAGTTTTAAACTTGTTCCATGTTGAAACTACATCATGTGATAAGTTTTTAAAGAATAACTAAATAAAAACATTGACATATTTTAGGGCACAGGCTATAAACCGCCATTCTTACCAAAGCTTATATATATATATATATATATATATATATATATATATATATATATATATATATATATATATATATATATATATATATATATCTTTCAAAATTTCTGATGAGTCTTTATTGATGAAACAGTGTTAAATGAAAAAATATTTTGCAAAGTGATTTTCTACTAATTTGTAATTTCTCTGTTCTTTTAAGAACATTGAGCACTCTTTTTGTGGAATACATTTTAAATTGTTTAAATGTGTGTGTGTGTGTATATATATATATATATATATATATATATATATATATATATATATATATATATATTATATATATATATATATATATATATATATATATATATATTGTTAAATTTTTTATTTGATTTGTTATAAAAAAAAAAATTTCTTGCCTAGATCAAAGTATTACCGACAAAGTCTTCTTTTCAGTTCAATACAATCAGCAGAGATTCAATGCTTATTTAACAAATGTTTTAGTATCCTTTTATATAATTTTATTTATTTATTACTAAATCACTTTTTCATCAGATTTTTTTACAAGTGACAACATCTGTAACAATTATTATTGTTTAATGTTATTGCACTTACAATTATCATTATTTTTTTAAATATAATTTTATATTTATAGTTTGTTATTATTACTACATTTTTTAGTATTAATCTTGTTATGCTATTGTTATTATTATTGTACTTATTATTGTTATTATTAATACCATGATGCTAATTTTAATAATAAGTGGATTTATTATTTTTACTGACAACAAAAATTACTTGCTAAAGTTTTTAAAATAGTTAAGTTTAATCATTTATTTAAAAATTGTGATTCTATTTACAAATAATTTGGTTATTTAAAAACCAATCAAACTAATATTAAAAAACATCAAAATGATGAAAAATAGTAGGTTGTTTAACAATTAATTAAACTAATATGAGAAATATCAAAATGATGAAAAGTAACTGGTTATTTAAAAACCAATCAAACTAATTCGAGAAGTATCAAAATATTTGAAAGTTTTAAAAATAATTGATGAAGTTGGATAATAATATATTAATAAATAGTATTAATTAGTTTGCATAATTTAAACATTTTTGTGTTAAATATCCTATCCTTTTTTTCATTTATATTAATGACTTAAGTTACTTATTAGCAAAAAACTTGATTATGAGCAATTCCACGACTGTCACATCGTGACAACCTTTTTTTTTTTTCGTCTCAAGTCTTCAATATTTTAATATTAAAATAGGTTTTAAAAGAATTTTTTTTGCTATTTAGTTAGCTCATAATAGGTTACAAATACAAAAAACAAGATAAATAATTTGGATGGATATATTAACCTCTCATTCATGCACGAAAATACAAAATGTCACAGCATGACCAAAATTTTCTCATTGTTTTTCAGTTTTTAGATCAACACTACAATTCAGCTAATATAGATGAACTGAATTATTAACTTGGCATTAAACAAAAAGTTTAGACATTACTCTTACAAGTTTTATAGCTAAATTACATTTTTATAATTAAATTTCAAACAGGTGCACCTTTAATTAACTAGTGGTAAATTTCACAGCGTGACCAGACACATTTGGGTAATTATAAACCAGGTAAATGGGCTAATTTTAATAAATTTAAAACAGAGATATTAGACAAATATAATTACATCTTCATAGAGAAGTATCTCCATAGCAGAGAGGTATTAGACAAATATATAATTACATCTTCATAAAAATAGTTCTTACATAGTAATCTTCAGAACATGCCCATATCAGTGTCAAATATTAGTGTTACGTCCATATTATATTGCTGTCATTTATACAAAGTTTTAAAGTTTTTCGGTGATTTTATCTGAAGACGTGAGTTGTTTCACTAAATACTTGGCATTTGATTAGGGTCACATTTCTATTTTCCCATTATTGTTTTGAATTAGGTGTGCTGCAAATATTTCTGGTTTTTCTGGTGCTTTTGTAAACAACTCATCAATTTTAAATTTTTTATTGTATTTATAATATCTTCCATAGAAACAAAATAGACATTAAGATTAGTCTCATTTTTAACAGCTTCATGAAAATTTATGCCATCAGTTATAAATTTTATCTGAATTATTTTTTTGCGTTACTATTCTTTTAACAGCCCCAACAATAGCATCTACTGGTCCTTTCCCATGAGATGCAGCGAAAAAGTTCCAGAATAATTTTTAATTATGCTGTTCGTCAGACCAGGGTATTGTTGATGCAATAAAACGATTTTTAATCGTTTTATTGCATCAACAATATTATAAACAAAATTGATTACTCGGTCGATCTGTCCAAACCTGTAGTATTTTAACACTTGATTCATTATGGTTAGATAATAAATTATGAACAAATCCTTTTAAATGGCTTAAATAATCTGAAACTATGACAGGTGATGAGCATGAATTTTGGTACCAAAATACAGCAGTAAACACGGCAACTTGGTACTTGTGCCAATGTGCTAACTGCACTTTATCTTGTTTCAAAGTTGCAAAATTTTCAGCAAAATCCACTTTGAAGTTGGATCTTAAAGTGAGTTTCCACTCATCCGTTTTTCTACGGGAAAGGGAAAGGGAACGGAAAAATAATCACGTGAGCATGCGAAATAAAAATTTTTACTTGTCCGTAAGGAAACTGGGCATGCTCATGTGATTATTTTTCCGTTCCCTTTCCCGTAGAAAAACGGATGAGTGGAAAATCACCTTTATGATCACAATATGTCTTTGATTGTTTCTCTTTAATAAAATAATGCCAAAGAAATGAAGGTAAAGGTTTTGAAAAGGTGCTGCAAAGATTATCAACTCTTCCCTTTTTTTCAATTTTTTTAACATATTTTTTTTCATTACCTTCTGCAACTTTTTCCTATTGGTACCATGTAATGCATTTATTCTTGTCAATTCCATTCAAAACATATAGATTATGAAACTTAGCAGCATCTTTTCATGTTGTACACATATTATTATAACAAATACCTTTTTCACTATCACATACAATGCTAAAATGGAAATTCACATGAATTCGTGAATTTGAATCAAACTTGTGCAGGGCTTCAAGGATAAAGATTATATTTTCGTTCACAACAACAAACTTGTCTTGTCATTGAACTAGATAAAAGCACATGTGGTGAAACTAGCAAACTTTGATTTTCCAACTGATTCTTCAGGATTTAAAAACCATTAAAAACACCAAAAGCTTCAATATCATTCTTATACAAATAAGGTTTTGCACAGTTTCTTTCTTGTTTGTTAATCTCACCACAATGGTATCTCTTTTACTGGGTACTTGACGGGATATATCATCACTCTGGTAAAAATCAAGAACCAATTTTAAAATTAAAGCATCTAATGCATTTTCACTAAGTATTTTTTATGGACTAAAGACTTCATTCATTTTTGTTAAAAGTTTTGGTTCAACTTTAGCCCTTATTTTGGGTGATTTTGGTAGTGCTGACTTAACAGCTTTGGGTGATTTTGGTAGTGCTCTCTTAACAGCTTTGGGTGATTTTGGTAGTGCTCTCTTAACAGCTTTTCCAAGAGTGCTCGCAGATTTGTAAGGGGGTAATGTAACAGCTACAGATTTTGATTCTGCTATTTTTTGTCTGTTCTTTTTCTTTTTTTGTCTTTCTTTTTCTTGTTGAGCCTCCAATTTAGCAAGTCTTCTTTCCTTCTTTTTGATTTTTTTTCTTTAACTATTTTTTTGCCAAATTTTTCTGTCTTTTATGATATTTCTTTTGACTTTCAGCATGAGTAAGAAGCATGTTAAACCCTTAGAAAAACCCTTAAAAAAGCGACACAGTAGTTATGGAGATGCACATATTACATCTAATGCTCAATGGAGTTAAGACTATCCCTAAAGCTCTATGTATTCCAAAAGAGGGCCATAAGGATACCTGAGCATTCATCCTCTAAATGTTGCTTATGCCTTTATTTTGTAGTCTTTGTAGAATACCTCAATGAAAGTAGGCCGCGCAATTCTGGGTCATTGAAGTTGATAAAAACTCAATTGTGGCTTCAGCCGTGACAAAAAAGTTCTAAAAATAACTTGAGCTAATTATTTTTTATATGTGAAATTATGAATATATATGAAAGAATGTATATGAAATATATATGAAAGAATGTATATGAATATAAATTTTTAATTTTAGTTTACCATTGTTGTTGAAATAATTTTTTCTTGAAAAGGAAAAAAAATTAGTTTGATTTTTTCAGTGTTTACACTTTTCATATTTTTCAGTGTTTACACCATTCATAATTATTCGAATGGCATTAACTTTTTTTAAAAATGCTATTTTTTATTTAAATATTTTTTATGTTTATTTTTGGACTATTAGATAATTTAAAAGTATTTTGGTTAAAAATCATAAGAATAATAAAAATACATAAAAAAAATAAAGTGGGCAAAACTACGGACCATCAATGACTGTGGAATGACGTGTTGAAGTTTTAAATCATTGGTTTCAAAATAAGATAGTTTGTCTAGAAAAAAAAATTGTTGAATTTATGATGAACTAATGTGTATTATTGACTGTAAAACATGGTGGATGTAGTATTAAGGTGTTTTGGTTAGAATGCCACTGGTGACTTTGTTAAAATAGAGGGAGTAATGACAAAAGTTACTGATAAAAAAATTATGCTACATCTTTGGAAAGATGGGTTATTTTTGATCATTTTTTCAAAAGAAAATGACAAATATTAAACATTTTTTAAAAACTTGTTTGAGTTATTCGACTGAGTTCGAGAACGATCAAATATTAAATAAAATGATTTAGCCTCCCCAAGCACAAGATAACTCTCATATGGGATTTTAATAGGTGGAATTAAAAATAATGTCAAAAACTAATTCCAAATGATTCATAAGATGTGGTCAAAACTTATTAGTTAGTGGTATAAAATTTACTTCACAAATTGGATAAGTTGTTAAGTAGAATGCCAAAAATATGTATGGCAGTTATTGTTGCTAAAAGTGATTAAAAAGCAAGTAAATTATAAGTTAATCTAATCAGACTTTTATTAATTTTTTTGTAAACCTCATATAAACTTATAATTCAGGTAGACTTTGTTTACAGTTTCTCTCCCAATATTTAGTAAAACTTTGATATCTTATTTTGAAAAGTACGACCATTCAAATAATTATGGGTGGTATTGCATATATGTTGATATGCAAGAGATTTGTATCATCAGCAAATAAATAAATTGGCAAGAAGTTAGTGGTTCATATTGTTAACATAAAAAGAAAAGAGGACCAAGAACAAAACCTTGAAGAACACAACACTAAAACTTATTCCTAGAATCATTAATACTTAGAAATTGTTTCCAAAGGATTGAACCAGTCACTTGCAACATTACAAATGTCATAGTCACCACAAATACCATAGTCACCTCAAACACCATAATAATCTAACTTAAAGATAAAAATATTATGATCAATGGTATCAAAAGTAATCTGTAAATTGATAAAAACACCATTAACAAAAAAGTATCAAGATTTTTGATTTTTTCTGTTGTACTTCTCAATGCGTGGCAATTGTTTTGATCAATACCCAAAACTAAATTTATTTTAACAGTTAAACGAGATCAGAATTTTAATTTCTTTTATAATCCATATTTCAATTCTTGTTCCATCATGCAATGGGTCACATCTGCTGAATGTTCAGTGCGGAGTTCCTAAAAGTTTATAACATAATAAAACATTACAAGTCTGAAATAAGTGCTATAAATAAAAAATGTTAAGATCGTCCTATTAAAATAATTACCAAGATTATTATATTAATTATAATTAATATTTTACTTCGTCTTACTCCAGAATTATTAGCAATTATAATTAATATTTCACTCTCTCTTACTCCAGAATCATTAGCAACTATAATTGATAGTTTACTCTCTCTTACTCCAGAATTATTAATTTTATTGCGTTTTAGTATTTAATTTCATTTAATTCTATTGCGTTGTAGTATTTAATTTCATTTAATTTTATTACGTATTAGTATTTAATTTCATTTAATTTTATTACGTATTAGTATTTAATTTCATTTAATTTTATTGTGTTTTAGTATTTAATTTCATTTAATTTTATTACGTATTTAATTTCACAAAAAGTATGATTTAATTTTTTTAGTTAATAAAAGTTTTATAAAGTTATTTCTCTATAATTTTCATTAATGTTTTAAGTGAAGTTACGAAGACATTAAAAACCTTGTTTATGTTTTGAATTTTAATCTTTTTTTTAGAATTATAAAAAAAATTTAAAGCAAAGATTTACTATGTTTAAATTTTATCATATTTAATGCCATAAGCATATTATAATGACATTATAATGACCAGAATAGTGTAACAATCATATTATGATATTATCATGACCAGAATAGTGTAACAATCATATTATGTAACAATCATATTTTAGTAATATTATGAATAGTTTAATAATCATATTATGACATTATTATGAACAGAATAGTGTAACAATCATATTATGACATTATTATGACCAGTAATAATTATATAATATCATATAACTTGCACAGTTAGAGTGTCCATAGTTGTACCTTTTTAGAAAGGTTATGATTGTTATATGAAATAAGTTCTTTAATAGTGGATATTCAAAAATAATGTATTTCAAAACCTTAACATATTTATTGATTATAATGGAAAAATAAAAGTTTCTTTAAAAGATGTGAATGGAACTGTGGAAAAAGTTGTTGCCAATATTCCTCAGGTTTCTTTTTGTGCAACTTTTTTTTTTTTTTTTTTTTTGTCTTTCACTCTGTCTTTAAAAGTGTATATATGAGTGTCTATCATTTATGTTAAACAGTTTTGTCTGTATATAAATATATAATATATCTACATTTAAATACATTTGATCGAATACAAATGCGCTAATTTCAGATTTTGATATTGCTGCCCCATGCCAAACCCTCATTCGATGTAGAGGCACTCTTTTGCAGCAGCAGGCTACAAGATAGTCATTATATGTACTGAAGCCCCCAGCAGCATTACAGAGTGACGTCAGAGATGGTATTTAAACAAGTATTTATATATATGTATGTATATATATATATATATATATATATATATATATATATATATATATATATATATATATATATATATATATATATATATATATATATATATGTATATATGTATGTATGTATGTGTATATATATATATATATATATATATATATATATATACATATATATATATATATATATATACATATATTTATATATATATATATATATATATATATATATGTATTTATATATGTATGTATATATATATATATATATATATATATATATATATATATATATATATATATATATATATCAGAGATTATCTTAATTTAACAAAAAATTTGTATTTTACAAAATAAAAATAAAAATTATTTGTTCATTACTCTATTTCGCCCAACACAGTCAACTCTTGTCAAGATACCCGTCCTGCGATTTTTTTTCATACACACTCGATTAGATTTTTTAGTTGGCGGAGATTTTTAGCTTGCCAATGGTCTGCATACACCAATCTTTTAATTTCACTCCAAAAATCCTCAATCGGACGCAATTCGGGCAGGTTAGCAGGGTTTATGTCTCTTGGTACATATTTGATATTTTTGCCTTTCAAGTAATTTTGTACTTTGTTTGATTAGTGTGCGGAAGCTAGATCAGGCCAGATCACAATTTTGTCGTTTTTATGAACCTTGTTGATGAACTTTTTTAATTTAACCAGGCATTTTAAAATGTACGCATCCTTGTTGACTGCTTGACCCGAAGGAGCTATGTAATGCTTTGAGACCCCCTTCTCCGACAAGGCTATCCAAACTAATAAATTTAGCTCATATTTATTTTTTCTTTTGAGCTTAACCTTATTAGGAGTTGTGTCGGGATCAGAAGTATAATATCCTGCATTGCCAGAAAACTGTGTGTTGCACAAAGGAAAGATTCATCGTCAATTATCACTAATTTTTTCCAGAAAAGTGCCACAGTTTTGCGGCTTTTAGTATACACGGCAGCTTTCTGAGCCAATATTTTTTTTTGGACTTTAGCTTTTTTACGATATCGAATGCTTGTCTTTTTGTTGGTAACAATGATTCTTTTGGCCAAGTTATGCTGTGAAACACCATCCTTCTTATCAATCAATTTTTTTTGCGTTTAATCTGTTTCTGAGGCATTTTTTTTGCAGTGCGACCACTCCTTGACCACTGACCACTTCCAACTTTTCTTTCTGGTCCTACATTGATTTCCTTTTGTCGCAGTATATTGTACATGGTTGATTTAAGAACGTTTTCAGTGCAAAAATGATTAACAACAAATTTTTTGTTCTTATCTGGATGCAAATCCAGAAAAGCGTACACTTGTAAAATATTTTCAATATTTTAGACATGTTTAATTAGGTTCTAGAAAAAATAGACTATGATATATGATATATGATTGTAGAGGAATAATAAAATTATAAAATTGAATTTAATTAAGAGAATTATAAAATTGTTAATTAAATGTTAGACATATAAACTGAAGCTACAAAGTTTATCCAGATTTTTAGTTATCACATGTTACCACACACATATATAAGGTATATGATAAATTTTAAATCGATTAGCCTGGGGTTCTAAATGATGAACTTTTGCCTACAAATCACAGAAATGACATTGATTTCACCATACCTTGAAAAAACTTCCTGAACCTAAGACAGTTTCATATTTAACCATACAACACATAGCAGCCCAAAGGCTATTAATTATAATATGTCAACTTTATATACAATACACATAAGAAATACATGAGAAATACACTGTCTTACAGCATTTGTAGTGATGTTAATAATCTTTCAGATTTGTGTATTAGTATTAATAAATTTACAGTTAAGATATTTGTTTGTTCTGCAAGAAGAACGAATGTCCTCCATCAACTTTACAGCTCTCTCGGCTACTATGTTGGTTCGAGGTACATCAAGCACTGATGGTTCCTTCTTCCAGTGGATAGAGAATTATTTTACAGCTTTGGAACATTTAAGTTGGGATATTGCTGACAGCAGGTCTTCATAAGCCGCCTCTGCATAGTGCTGGTTTGAAAACCAGGCCCGCGACCATGTAGTTGAAAACGAAATTGCAAGTTATCCTCAGCTGTTCTTGCCAGTTTGGAAGAATGAAAAATGCAATAAGCGCAAAAATGCCTTTTGAGTTCCACCTGGCACTGTGCAGTGATGGCAGCTTGTGCCATTTGATACGAGGCCATTTTTCCTCATTTTTGTAAAACTTGTATGCTTCACAAAGCTGAAAAAGAAATTTAAAGTCATTTCTCCAGCCAAGGTTCTCATACTCTGCTACCACTGCTGTGCCCTTGTAGGCATTTTTTAAATCATCGTAATGCTCCATAATCTCATCAATAAATTTGTAGTTAATGTTAGGCGACTGTGACTGTATAGGAAAAAAGAAATCCAAAACATGTCGTAGAACAAGATCGAGAATGTGGTGTTGGCAGCCGATGTATTGAGGTTCATCGAATCCCTTGTCTCGAAATGTTTTCTGAAACTTGGCTACAACTGCATTCTTGCGACCAGTATTTACAGCTGTTGTGTCAGAGATGATCATCTGAATACTGTTCCATGCATTGTAATCATCAAGTAGGTCCTGTAGTGGTTTATATATGCTTGCAGATGATCCACTGTCACAAACCAATATGCCAAGTTGTAATGTTCTTTTGTCATTTTTCAAGCACACGCCAGACTCCAGACTGTGATGGTGTTGGGACACAAACTCCATCCTCAGCCAGACTTTGAAGCACCCGTGACGTTTTTCTGGTTGACAAAGAGTGACTAGACACTAGTTTGGCAGCAGACTTCTCCTGGAACTGCCTCCGAGTCACCACTGCTGCTTCCTTCCTCAGAATCCTCACTATCGCAGGAAAGTGGTACGGAGATAACCGCTTGGTTTGTCGAGGGTTCTGATGTGCTTTTGGTTCTTTTTGATGGATGGATTGTTGACATAGGAGCCACTTTCATAGTTGTATATCTCACCCTGTCATCTGATTCAATTTGTACTTTGTACAGTTGTTTGTCCTCACTACAAAGCCAATTTCCATCTGGTTTTGTTAAATCGAACAGATGAGCAAGATTTTCTTCAAATACTGCATTTGGTCGCTTTCTGTGTTTCTCAAATGATGTGATAAGTTTGTAAACATTAGCAGACACTTGTTGTTTGGAAAGAACAGGAGAATTAAACTGCCAAAAGATTCATCAATTCCTTGGATATTTTTGTTAGTCGATCATGTCGTCCTTTCAATTCATTAAAGAGTCCCAAGAATCTTCCAACGATATCTCTGTTGGAAGGCATTTTACACAACTTGTCGCTCATATCCTGTTTTACCTGTGGTATATTAAGACGGCGCTTCGTGCTTGATTTCAAATTTTGTGTCCATATTTCACCAGCTGCTTCCACTGCTGATTTTGACTTTTTACTTTTAAAGGACATATTTTTAAAAAGAAGCACTAAAAAGCAGATCTTGCAAATTAATACTGCAAATAATCAAAAAAAACTTTTTAAATACTTCTACTCAGTATTTTAATCGCGCGAACTTTAAAAAATACTCAACAACAAACAACAACAAACGCGCATTAATTTGAAAAACAGTCGTTAAAATTTGTTATTCAAAATTGAGTTACATAACATAAAAACAATTTAAAACTATCAAACTTTTTCATTCTATGTTAATTACCTTTTTAAACTGTTTGACGCTCTCCAACTCGTAGTTATATTCAAGCATAGTCAAGCATAAGGAAGTAAGAACTGCGAACAAAATCAAGTGAAAAATCGAAAAAGTTAAAAGTGGTGAGGTGCTAGGTGCGGGAGGTTTTTTTTGTGATCCAATGAAATAAAAATAAATAAAAAAAAAGATACTTAAGAAGAAACAAAGTTCTAATTTAGAGAAAATCTTTAGTGGATAATTTTTATAAAACTAAAAAACCAATGTTTCTTTAATAAAGTAATCATTACATTTTATTCTTAAGATAAAATAATAGAATCAAAATATATACAATTTTTTTATTCATGATAAGGGAAGAATCAATTACAGTAGGTGGTGCCATATCACGGTAGGTGAAGAAATTAAAAGTAACATTGAAAAAATAACTTTACTTAAATTTGAATAATATAAATTAGCTAATAATTGAGTATAAATTTATAATCTGAAAACCCTAAATTTAAATCTGTTGCGGTTTTGGAGTTATGAAGTTTTAAAGTTAAAAGTTTTCTTAAAGTCGTAGTATGGGAAAACGTGAACCAAAATATATACATACATTTTATATATATATATATATATATATATATATATATATATATATATATATATATATATATATATATATATATATATATATATATATATATATATATATATATATATATATATATATATATATATATATGTATGTATATATACATATACATATACATATATATATATATATATATATATATATATATATATATATATATATATATATATATATATATATTTATTTATTTATATATATATATATATATATATATATATATATATACATATATATATATATATATATATATATATATATATATATATATATATATATATATATATATATATATATATATATAAATGTATGTATATATTTTGGTTCATGTTTTCCCATACTACGACTTTAAGAAAACTTTTACATATACAAATACATATATATATATATATATATATATATATATATATATATATATATATATATATATATATATATATATATACATATATATACATATATATACATATATATATATACATATATATATATATATATATATATATATATATATATATATATATATATATATATATATATATATATATATGTATATATACATATACATATATATGTATATATACATATACATGTACATGTATATATACATTTATATATATATATATATATATATATATATATGTATATATATGTATATACATATATATATATATATATATATGTATATATATGTATATACATATATATATATATATATATATATATATATATATATATATATATATATATATATATATATATATATATATATATATATATATATATATATATATATAAAGGCCGATGCTGATACCGATAGATTAACTAGCTATTATAATTTGAAAATATAAAACCATACAACTTTAAAATCGTGTAATATTTTTCATGGAATCAGAACTGGTAAGCAAATACTTGGACCCAAATCAGAGTCAAACCTTTATTTCAAAAGATATTAGAAAAGCTCAATCAAATAAATATACATTTTTTACTTTTTTTTTAACTATGAAAAGAAAACTTTCAAAAAATAAATACAATTTTAGGGATAAAAATATAAAAATGCCATCGGTTAGAAAATCGGTAAATTGATAAGGAAAGACTAATGCCGATACCGATTGTGCAAAAAGTGGCCGATTACGCCGATGCAGATTAATCGGTACATCTCTAATACATATATATATATATATATATATATATATATATATATATATATATATATATATATATATATATATATATATATATATATATATATGCATTAGGGTTGTGACTTTTTAAAAAAAAATTAATTTCCTGGGTCATAAATCAATGAACTTTTATTTAAAAAAAATGTTCAATTCCTCTCAGTTGTACAAATAGGTCACCCTGCAGTTTAAATTATGTTTTGTCATTTATTTAATCTTGTTGCTGCTACTACTAATTCGTGTGGCTTTCTTGCAAATCATTTAAAACTTGTATAGGTTGAAGTGTTAAGAACTTTCTTAAATATTCTGTTATTTTCCAACATTTTGGAAAATAACAGAATATTTTAGAGGACTTTAGAACATTCAAGAACAATTTAAAACATTCTGTAACAATTTAGAACATTCTAGAACAATTTAAAATATTTTAGAACATTCTAGAACAATTTAGAACATTTTAGAAATTTTAGAACATTTTAGACTATATATCTAATTTTTATCTAATTTTATAAATATTACAGAAGCAACACATGGCGTCATACAAGCCTAGCCATTGTAGCATTTAGAAGAACAAGGATATCTGGACCAATAATCTGGTAAAATTTGAAGATTTTCATAAAAGAAGAAGAATGGTCTATTTAGAAGAATATTCACTGGAAGAAAAGTGCAGAATGCCTCTCCAAAAGCAAATTATCGGGCGCTAACTTTTCCTTGGACCAAAATCAAAGGAAGAAAGGAGCGAATAGCGGAATTCTCCTAAGAAGTCACCAAGTTGTGGAAGAATAAACTGAATTATTCTTTTATATCTGATCAAGTAATACGAGCAAGGCTTGATAAAATACTGAAATGTTACAATTGATGTGTCAAGCAGGGAAGCTACGAACCCCTTGATGAAATTTTTGATATTACTAAGTGGATGGAGCATGGTTATACTCCAAGGACAACCAATTGTACCATCTCTGAGTGGAAAACTAAGGAACAGTGGGATACTCTACAGGCCAATCAGCCAGTAAAGAAACGATTCATCCCTCTAAAAGACAAAAACTTTCTAATGTGTCATCCAACTTATCATCTTGCTATCCTGGTTTTAGTGATTTTGACTCTGAGGCTGACAACAGTGAATATGAAAACAATGAATAAGATGAGACAACTCCTACACCAAGCAGAAAACATAATAAAAGCAAAATTGCAGTCAACTTGGTGACCTCCACAAGAGTATCAACAAACAAAGCTGCTAACATATGCAAGCAATTGGCTCATGAAGACATTGACATCCCAACTCCATGTCAATCAGCTATTTACAAGTCAACAATCAAAGAGGCAATGAAGCTGAAGGAAAAAATGATTGAAAAGTTGCATATGGAAA